ACTCTCTGATTCATTTATATTTTGTATTCTTTTCCTCGCCATTGCATTAATTTCTGCCCTGAACTTTATAATTTCCTGCTTTCTTGGGGCATTCGACTTGACTTGCTCTTCTTTTTCTAGGATCTTGAGGGGCAACATAAGATAGGTTACTTGGGCTTGTTCTGTTTTCCTAGTGAGTGAATTTAGCACTATAAATTTTCCTCTAAATACAGCTTTCATTTTTTTCACACTGTTCCCATAGTTGTATCTCCATTTTTGTTCGATTGTCAATATTTTTAAATTTCTTCATTAGGGCCAGCCACATATTTCAGCAGATCAAAGTGCTTTCAATCACCCGCAGGGCCTGGGATTAAATCTCCAGGCCTGCCATGCTGGCCCTGCCCTCGGGTGACATCAATTGAAACTGGGTGTAGTTATGTATGCCTGTAATCTCAACACTTGGGATGCTGTGTACAGGAGAATCACTACGAGTCAGATCTAGTAGTGAGACCCTGAACACACTGTAGATCCTTCCATAAAATACCAAGAAAAAAAGAAAAAAGAAAGAAAGAAAAAAAGAAAAAAAATTCTTCTTTAATTTGATCTGTCACTCACTGGTTGTTTAGTAGAACGTTACTTAATTTCCATGTGTTTGTGGAGTTTTTATAGTTTATTTTGTCAACAAATTTGAGTTTCATTGCAGTGTGGGCAGACAGTATGCATGGGATAATTTCAATCCCTTTGCATTCAGTTAAGAGCACTCTATGTGTTATGTGTTAGTATAAGGTCTATTTGGAGAATGTACCATGTTAAGCTGAGAAGAATGTGTGTTCTGTTGTTGATTGAAACACTTTTTAAAGGTCTATCAAGTCAATTTCTTTACAAGTTTGGTTTAGTTCTGTTATCTTTTTTGCTGATTTTTTTTTTTACTTAGCTGATTTATCTCTTTGTGGCAGTGGTGTGTTAAAGTGCCCCATTACTATTATACTATTGTGTATTTGGTCTTTCTTTTGTCGTTAAAATTTGTGTTATGTGGGAGGGTGCCCCTACATTGGGTGCATAAATATTTACAATTGTTATCTCTTCCTCTTGCAGTTTCCCTTTAGCAAGTGTGTAGTGACCTCCTTTATGTATTTGAGTGATTTTAGGGATGAAGTTGATACTGTGAGCAACCAGAATGGCTACCCCTTCTTTTTTCTGGTTTATAGTGGCATGGAGAATTTTTTTCTATCCTTTGACTTTTAATCTGTGAATTTCCTTTTTAGTTAAATGTGTTTCTTATATGCAGCTTATTGTTGCATCTTTAAGAATGTATTTGGTCTCACTATGCAGCTTGGACTCAGTGATCCTCCTGTTTTCAGCCTACCCAGTGCTGGGATTACAGGCACATGCCACCACACCCAGATTTTGTGGCCAGCTAAGTTCACCCTAGATTTGGTGTTGGGGATCAAACCACAGTCCATGTGCTTGCCTAAGCTTGCCAAAAAGGCTCTTTAGTCTGTTTAGCTATTTTACTAACCCCTGGATTTTGTTTCTTAATCCACTCTGCTCTTTTGTTTCTTTTGATTGGTGAATGGAGGCCATTAACCTTAATGATCATAACTGATATTTATTGGCTTATCTTTGTCATGTTATTTTTCTGCTATGGGTTCTATACTTTTGTTTCATAATCCACTCTGCTAGTTTGTTTCTTTTGATTGGTGAATTGAGCTCATTTGCCCTAATGATTATAACTGATACGTATTGGCTTGTCTTTGTTATGTTATTTTCCTGCTGTAGGTTCTGCACTTTTTCCCTCTGTTTAATTACTTGTTCTGTTTGGTGGTTTGTTTCTGAAGCTGTGGTTGTTTCTGTCTCTTTCTAGAATATCTGTCAATACTCTGTAAGTTTGGTTTGGTTTTCATTATTTCTTCAGTTGCTTTTTGTCATGGAAGAACTTTTTTCTTGCCATTGAATTTGATAGATAGTTTGGCAGTGTACATCAGTCTGGGTTGTAAGTTGTTTTCTTTCCAGACCTGAAGTACTTAACACGAAGCTCTTCTTGATTTGATGGTTTGTGTTAAGAAATGTGCCATGATTCTGATAGACTTTCCACTGTAGGTGATGTGGTTCTTCTTTCTAGCAACTTTTAATATTTTATTCTTTTGTTGAACTTATGAGATCTTGATTAGTATCTATGTGTAGAATTATTTTTGTTGTGCTTGTTTGGAGTTTCATATTCCTTTCATAACTGTATGTCAGGTTATTTTGTAGTGTTTGGAAAATTTTCTGCTAGTACTTCTGCAAATAGCTGTTTGATGTCATTTTTGCCTTCTTGTGCTTCATTGACACCTATTATTGTTATTTTTCTCATATCATCTTGTAGCTTAACTGTTTAACTGTTATTTCCTGGTTCCTTGTTAGCTGTAAGAGATGTTTCATTTCACATTCATTAGCTGTCCCACTGTCTTTAAGGTCTGAAAACCTATCTTCAGTTTCATTCAAGCTGCCTTGAGCCAGCTTTCAATGGAGCTTTTAATTTCCTAGATATCTCTTTCTTTGAATCTGTTTCATGCATTGTAATTCTTTCCTGTATTGTTCATTGAATGTTTCCATCATTTTTGTATCATCCTCTATTTTTTATCTATTCTTTCATAATTGTTGTCATTTCTTTTTGGACCTGAGAGACTACTTCTGATCTTATTTCTTCTATAACTTGATGGACTTGTTTTTTTCACTTCAGTTTCTGTCATTTCAGTAATTTCAAGTGTGTTATTTCCAAGTTCTTGTATGTCTTTGGATTCTGGATTTGTTTGGGTGGGGTAGAGGATTGATACTGTATTTTGCTCCTGTGTTTGGACATTTTCTAAGTTCCCATTAATCATCCAGATTTAATGGTGTTGCAGGAGTGGTGAGTCATGTGTCATTAAGGTTTTCACTACATTGGGTGCAGGGTAGGACTCACCAAGACTCTCATTACTAGTGGGAGCAACTACCCCGTGCCCAACAAAGCTTCAGTGTAGGTGTTGCATGTTGTCTGGATTCACCAGGATCTGATGGGCTGCTTACAATGCTCCTAGGTTCTTAAAATACTGCACCAGTGCCAACAGAAGCTCCATACCTATGAGCTGGGGGCTAAGTGGTGCAGCTCACCAGAGTTCCACAATCCACCAAGAGTCCTTATAAATTCTTAAATGGATGGATGAGGAACAAGGAAATCTCCATGCTTGTGCCCACAGAGCACTCCTCCACCCCATCCAATCAGTGCTCCATTGGGCCCACAGATTGCAGCTCTCCATTGTTTTGGCAGGCTGTTCAGGGCCCTGCTTACTTCTTAAAAGGTTGGACTAGTACCAGCTCAAGCTCCATTCCTGTGTGCTGGGGAATAAGTGTCAGAGCTTAACAGTCCTACAGGCCTCCAAGAATCCTCTTCAGTGTTCTTAAATGGCCTCAAGAAAGCTCCACACCTGCCCTTGCTGGGACCATACATCAAAACTCTGCAGAATTCAGGCGGATGCTCAGGGTCCTCCTAAGTTCTTAAAAGGTTAGACCAGCATCAGCACAAGCTCCACACCTGCATTTCTGGGGCTAAGTGTCAGAGTGTCCCAATACCTTAGGCTGCCTAGATTCCTCTCCAAACTTCTTAAATCTTGTTTTGAAGTTTTACAAAATTGTTTTCATTAAAATGAGAAAAGAAAGGTAAAGAAGAGGAAAAAGTTGAAAAGGGAAAAGATAAAAAGAAGAGAAAATAAACTGAAAGAGGAAAAAAGAAGAGGCATCCCCAATCCCTAGAAACTCCAATGAATGAAAGATAAAAATAAAATAATAGGAATTTTTTTTCAAAAGTGATTCAAAACGATTCTTGTGTTTTTGAGTGAGTTGTTTCTTTCCAGGATCTGCAGTCTTGAGATCCAGACAGTAACAATTTTCTCCATATAGCTTTAAGATCTATAGGTTTTTGAGGTGCCCTTCTGCCATCTGTGGCCAATCTGTCCATTTACCCTAGACTGTGATTTCTGTAGAAGCCAAGGTGTATTCCCAGTAGTAGACAATAATCTGATTGATGTTCTGGTCTCTGGTGGACTTTAGATCACAAGCTGGAGCTTCAAATGGACTATTAGACATATTGTCAACAGGCATAGGGTATGATTCTTCTCTTCTCTTCCAGGTGTCTTCAGTCAGGAGTAAGTCTGTTGATTAGTCCTGCCACTGCTACCTTATGCCAGGGGATATCCAAATGTAGACCTGGCTTGGAGTTGGCAGATGACCTCACATTTTGTCAGGAGGGTGCACCTTAAGGGAGTTTTACGTGCAAAGTTTCAACTCTACCTTCTTCTCAAAGATTAGTATTTCCCAAATAATCCATATTTCTTCTAATCAATAACAAAGTATCACTAATGAAACACTTTCTATATAAGTCCCAATTGTAAGTATTTTATGAGTATTTTTTTTACTCTACCCTAAGAAGTACATATTGTTTCTCTATTTTGCATTTGGGTAAAATGAGTCTGAGCAGGTTATAAAGATTTTAATAAATTCATATAATGGCAAAGCCAAGATTTGAATGCAGATCAATATAACACAAAGGATAGACTGTTCGGCCTTGTATTTGTTTTCTGTTTTGATCATCTACATAGTTCTTTAAGATGGGACGTCATATTTCCTAGGACTTATTCCAAGTTGTATATTTCAGTATAGCATATGGCCTGTGTTTGTTTTTATTGATCAGTGCCTGAGCTTTAGGGTTTTGTTATTCTGTAGAAGTCCATAATTTTTACTAAAAATTTAGGCTGATAAACATTAAATGAAATATATAGACAGATACATAATATCCATATTTATGTACTATATTTATGCTTACTTTTAGTATAATGAAACATCATTTTAAATCATTGTCAACACCCTATATATTTATTGAACTTAGCATCTATAGTTTCCATATTCAGAATTCATTATTTAAGTGTTCAATACATAGAAGCTCAATGAATGGCTCTTACATGTAATTGATAATGTACTCACATGCCAAATTTCTGTGTTTTTAGGCTCGAGAAGGCCGGACCACTATTGTGATAGCTCACCGCTTATCCACAGTTCGCAACGCTGACGTCATTGTTGGGTTTGACAATGGAGTCATTGTGGAGAGAGGAAACCATGATGAACTCATGAAAGAGAGAGGTGTTTACTACAAACTTGTCACAATGCAGGTATAGTTTAATTCTAGAATTTCCTTGACTTTTTTGGAGGAGATAAACTGGTATAGCTATGTTTTCTGCTGAAAATAAGTATTATTTAACTTATCTTGAAAAGAAAACAATTTTTTCTTTTTTCTGAAAGAGAGGCATTAAAGAAAGATGAATAAAGACTACTTTATCAAAGTTAGAAGTGAGCTAACACTAGCAGCCACTATCAACATGTAACTACTGAACATTTCAGTGGTGATTAATCTGAACTGAAATGTTGTAAGTACTAAATGTGAACCAGATTCTGGTAGTTTATTAAATATAAGAACGCAAAACATCTCAACAGTTTTTATATATTACATGCTAAAATGATAATATCACTGAAAAACAATAGTATCTTGGATATATTAGGTTAAGTGAAATATTTAAGTAGAATTAATTTTTGGTTTTCTCACTTTTTTCTTTAATTTTAGGGAAGGGTCTATAGGGTGTTCAGGGTCTCACTACTAAATCACACTCATAGTGATCCACCTGTTTACAACCTCCCAAGAGCTGGGATTACAGGTGCGTACCACCACACCCAGTCTCAATTGCCATCTTAGCATGCCCCGGGAACAGGGGCTGGCATGGCAGCGCTGGGAATCGAACCCCCAGCCCCTGGACCTGCTTACAGGTGCTTTAATCCAATGAGCTATTTGGCTGGCCTCATGTTTTTATTATAACTATTAGATAAGTATAGTTGAGAAATATGGCTCACATAAGGGCTTGTACCATATTTCTGTTAACAACTGTGACTGAAAGCAAACTTCACTGAGGCAAAATAACCAAAGAAAGAAGATGCCTGGATAACATACACAGAAGAGATGTGCTATTTTAACATATTCAATGGAAATCTTTCTTATTAGTGCCTTCCTTTTTTAAGTGTGGTATGAAAATATAGCAGTTTAATTTCAACAATTTTTGTAAGTACTATCTTCAAATTACTATTTCCATGGCATCTGATGTTTATTAATCAGTTTAATTGGTAAACTAAGCCTAAGAAGCTTGTATAAATTTATTTGATTGATTTACTTATTTATTTTCTTGTTTGTTTTAGACTATAGAAAGTGGAGATGAATTAGAAAAGGAAGTATCTGCATCCAAAAGTGAAGGTGATGCCACGGCAATGTCTTTAAAAGGTTCAGGATCCAGTCTAAAAAGAAGATCTACTCGGAAGAGTACCAGTGGACCACAAGGAGAAGAGAAACAGCTTAGTACCAAAGAGGCCTTGGTATGGAGGAGGATTTAGAGGTTTTTGTCCTAGTTCCCTCCATTTTTTCCTAGCTGGGTGGGCTCCTACTGGGTGAAGAATAGGAACAAAAAAGATTTTCCAAATTTTTTCTCTCCCAGTATTCAAGATGGTCCTCAAATCAGAAATGTCAACAATTTACAATCCGTTTGTAATTTAAGAATAAGAATTTATACGGCCCTTTTAGAATTAAAACTTATAAAGAGACTTAGTGGATCTTCAAATATTAAAATTTCTGTTCTTTTCATTCCTGCTTATAAATATCTTTGTCATCTTTTGAATGTCAGGCCAAAAGTTAAATATTTGTAAAAATATCAATTGTTTCTTAAAAACAAAGGGATACCATAAAAGAATTTGTCAGTACATATTTTGAAGTTGAAGATCCACCAATTGATAAAGAATTTGACGCACGTATTTTTATAAATTTCTGCACTTCCAAAAGTTATACAGCATAAAAATCATTTATCAATTTTGTGAGTTTTTAATATTTTCTATTTTCCAGGAAGAAAGTGTACCTCCCGTTTCCTTTTGGAGAATTCTAAAGCTGAACATAACAGAATGGCCTTATTTCGTGGTAGGTGTTTTTTGTGCCATTATAAATGGAGGCCTGGAACCAACATTTGCAGTAGTATTTTCAAAGATTATAGGGGTAAGTTTGTATGTCTAATTTTTGTATTTTCTTTTGAATGCTGATTGGAGAATTAGTGAACTCTTTTTATTTGTACCAGTATATATAAGACACAAAACCCATGTTCCTTTATATGAAACCAACCTGACTAAAGGAGTAGGAACAGAAGTCTGTTTGTGAGAAAGAAGCTAATGGTATAAACCTTCCTTGTCCTGGTTTCTCTCCCAGGACCCTGTTGATTTCCTTCCGAAGGATCAGGGTGCCAGCTTCCTAAAGTAGTAAATAAAACTGGAGAGATGACTTTCCCATACCTACCACCACTAGGCTTCAGCAAAACTCTCAACTTTCATCTCGTGGTTGTACAAAGGGTTTTCCTTATCTGTGCGTCAGCTTGGCTTGAGAATAACCTGCTCTAGAGCAGACTCACTTAACAGGACAAGACCAGGCCAAGAATGCCACCTGTGTAAGGTGTAAGTTTCATTTCATTTCCTAAAATAGAATAAAGGACAGCTTCCTGAAGACTGAAGTGGTCTTGTTGCTTCCTCTTGATTTAGCAGTGCCATTTTCAAAACAATCTAGAGAGTCATGTTCCTGCTTAGTAGAGATTTTTCAGACATCCTTGCCTTATTGCTGAGAACTTTGTGCAGAAAGCGACTGATTGCCACAAGAAGCGTAAACCAAACACTAGCTTTTGATTCCACCACAAAGAAAAAATGAAGCATGCCTGGCTAGGTCATTTCAGGTTGTCATTCATGCTTATTTATTGTTATTATTATTTTAGTATTTAGTACAGTGTCTACAGGGTCTCATTACATAGATCCTACTCGTAGTGATTCTCCTGTTTTCAGTCTTCCAAGTGCTAGATTACAGGCATGTACCACCACTCCCAGGCTTCTCACCATCTCAGCGTGCCCCAGGGGTGGGGCTGGCATGGCACACCAGGGATCAAACCTCAGCCGCTATACTCTGTCTGCCTAAGCAGGTGCTTTAGTCTGCTGAGCTATCTGGCCAGCCCCATTCATGTTTAATGTGTTCAATAAATCTCTCTTCAATAGTTGAATGTATTGTAATTATAGAGAACTTGTGTTTCAGGTGTAAGGCCCGGGGTTCAAGCCTCTGTACTGAAATGAAAAGGAAAGAAATGTTTTTTATGGTCTACTTTTGTGTGAAGTCATTTTATGTGTCCTAAAATTTTACTGAGAAGCAGATAAAATGTCTGATGGGGAGCATGTACTGTATTGTAGGACAGGGAACAGAGGCATGTGTTCTTTCCTTATATGGGAAAAGTCTTCTGTTTTAGGTTTTGCAGCCAGTACAATTTCCATTGCAAATCTTGCACTCTGCTTTTGTGGAGCAAAATGCACCATACGCAGTGTGAAAACAATTGAATATTTTGTATTTCACTGGCACTTGTTATAAACATTTAGCCAGTGGCCCATAGTTTGCTGATCTCTGTTCTGATGTGTGTCTTGTAGACATGGAGCTAACAATGGTGTCAATAGAAGGAAAAAAAAATGGAACTAGATAAGTTAGAAATGGATTTGGCTATTTTCCTTTTTTTTATACCTCCTACAATAGTAAGCCTAGAGGTCAGTGATCCAGGATTGGCACGTGAGCTCCTAGGTAACAGTTAGGCAACCCACCCATTGCAAATGGTGGGCTCTGAGGGACAGTGATGAGGTTTGTATCTTTGAGTCACTCTGGGCTGGTTGTATTATATTTGACAACTTAACTACTGTTTGTATTTCAGTTTATCTCTGTATCAAATGGCATGATTATAAAATTAAAAATTGTTAAGAGGATAAAAGAAAGAAAATATATACATTTGCTTAGAGCAATGTATAAAATAAGGATTTAGTTATTGTCAGTAACTATTTTTGTTGACATGACTACTAAGGAAACAGTGATATAATGTTTTATAATCCCCTCCACTTTTCTTTTTTCTTCAGCTAGGGTCTTGTTATGTAGTGCAGGCTGGGCTTGAATTCACTTATGTAACCCAACCTGGCCTCAAACTCATAATGATCCTCCTGCTTCAGTGCTGGTATACAGGCACTCACCACCTAACCTCATTTTCCACTTTTTAAAATTTTCCTTATTTATTTAATTAATGTATACAAGGATCTACAGGGTTTCACTACACAGAACAGACTCCAGTGATTCTCCTGTGTTCAACCTCCCAAGAGCTGGGATTACAGGCGTGTGCTACCACGCCCAGTCTCACTTGCAGTCTCAGCACTCCCTGTGGCTGGGGCCAGTATACCAGGCTGGGGATTTAACCCTGACCACTGTGCTTTGCCTAAGCAGGCATTTAGTCCACTGAGCTATCAGGCTGGACTTTCCACTCTTTTTTTTTTTTTTTTGAACTGAAGACGGCATACGAGATGTTGCGGCGTGACTGGAGTTCAGACGTGTGCTCTTCCGATCTTTTTTTTTTTTTTTTGGCGGAACTGGGGATTGAACTCAGGCCGTTGCGCTTGCCAGGGAAGCGCTTATTCCACTGAGCCATCTCCCTGGCCCCGGACTTTCCACTTTTTTAAAGAATGAAATTATCTGGATTGAGTTAGGAATACTTCTGTCATACAGTACTGTTATTTTCCTTGGACCCATGACATTTTGTAGCCCTTCTATCTTCTTGTAACATTTCTACATATGCTACTCAGGCAGCTGGCTTTAGTACTTGAATGGCTGACTGGCTCTTGTACAAGGAAGACTGCTTCAGAAGCTTCCTTTCTTTTTGGAAAGCCTGAACTGATTAAACAACACCTCTCTTGTCGTCCCCAAAACCACAACAGGAGTTTCTCCAGATACTTTAGGACAGTTTGAAATGTCTCTGTAATGACACAATGGATAAGCATATAGCACAGTTTCTTACCAAGTGTCAAGTACTTCCATTTCTACTTTTACACAGTAGGACAACACATCTTACTCCATGAGGTTACATGAGCAGAATTATTGGATCAATTTGTAACAGTCCCTCACTTGGTCTCTACTGTAGATAGATGTCTCTGAGGGCAGTATTAGTAAAACCAGTCCTGATTTCCACTATACAAAACTCTCCTCACCCTGAAAATCATTCCTATAGTTTAAATGCATAAGATACAGAATCATTTCTTAGTAAGTGAATTAATGACCCTTTCAATATTTCCTGACAGCTTTTTACAAGAAATGATGATCCTGAAACAAAACGACAGAGCAGTCATCTCTTTTCACTATTATTTCTAGTCCTGGGAATTATCTCTTTTATTACACTTTTCCTTCAGGTGAGTGTCTAAATTTTTACTTTGTTCCTTTTGGGGGAATTTACAGACTTTTCCTATAACAGAGCTGCCTTCTGTGCCATTTACTATCAACAGCCAATTGTTGGAGTGTTTTGCTCTCTTGCTCACTTTATCCCATGTCATCCCTCTTCAAC